GTCTTATTAAGCCATTTTCACACAATTGTAATGTCGTTGTTTGGTTGTAATTGACATAGAGGTATAATATGTTAAACAAAGCAAATAGTGTTAATTTCGCTTGAGATAGATAATTAATTAATCTTGAAAAATCGGGTCCATCATCGTAATTAGATAATTTATTAATTGACTTGTGGAAAAATTAATTAGACAACAATTAAGCGAAACCATGAATTCCAACCACATTTTCCTTCTAAATTTTAAAGTGTCTATGTTTTCTTAGTTTGTAGAGTTTTAGTTTATTTTTTCTTATTTTCACATCAAAATCTTAATTTGTATGCTTTTCTTTGTTAGAATTAAATTGATTAAAGTTGTGTAATAAAAAATAAACATTTCTTGAGGGGTCTGACTTTCCGGACTCAAATTGTCCACTCTATTACTTGAATGCAATCCGTACACTTGCAGTTTACACCTTCTTAGCGAACATCAAGCAAAAACTAAATGTTGAAAGACATTCAATCTACATGATATACACTCAAAGTTCAAAATTGATTTTCAATGCATTCTATAGATTTCTACTGATGTATCTTTTATTTTTTGAAAATAATAATAAATTCACATATGAAATATAAATTTTCCTAAGTTTGCATTTTTTTTAACGGAAGTTTTGAATCTAGACGGATCATTGGGAAGGAAAAAAAAAAAAAACACCATTTTATTCACTACATCATTTTGATTGAGTCCTTATCACGTTTGCATTGGAGAGGAGTTTTTTTAAGTACATTACAACTATTAAGAATTCAACTCTTTCATTTGAGACGCTCTCATGGTATTGGTTGGTGGATGAATTGACTTTTCATTTTTATCATATTCTTTAATTTTATTTTTCTACTTAATTTATATTTTTTTTTTTACTAGACTTATTTAACTAAATGTAGGTATATTTTAATTCTTTTTATAAAAAAATAAAATTGACCTTTTTAAAGCGGGTAATATTGCCACCATAATTTTTTTTTTGTTGCACCACATTTTAATTGCAGTTGAACTCTTCAATCTTTGCTCGTTGTAACAATTATTTCTTTAATTATTTTCATCAAATTATTATCTCTGACATTCCATTAATTAGTACATCTCATCCTTAATGATTATTTATGTTAAAATATTTTATTTTCACGCTTTGAAATGAAGGAAACGTTATTTTTTTCATACTTTTTATTTTTAAATATGATGGAAAAATAAGTTGTTAAGCTATTATCAAATACAAAAAGGTTAACTAATAAAAAGTTCGAATATAAGAATGCCATAAAAAATCGTTAGGAACATAAATGCTATGAGTAAAGATTGAGAATTTTTAGTATAATTAAAATATGGTGTAAATAAAAATTATGACGTGGGTTGCATGAATAATATTTTTAGCGTCGCTAACTACTGATTGCAGGTTGGCTGAACTAAGAGCATACATGAGAGCTCTATATATTTATTCACTTTAATTATTTCATATTTATATTACTATGTCGATATATTTCATAAAATAAATTAAACAATTACATTAATTAATGTAAATACAAATTACAAATTACAATTTAGATTAAATTACAAACTTCAGGGAAAGAAAAAAGAAAAAAGCAATCGACAATAATTTAACGATATTCTTCTGAATCGAATATCAACCTATGGAAAAAGACTCATGACGTAATACCAATTCATTGTTGTTAATAAAAAATAATTTATATAACAATAAAAACACATTTTCAAACTGCATAGTTCAAATCAAGTCAGTTAATTACGAACCACTGCTGATTACTTTATTCTATATAAATTTTTTATATTGAGCCCCTTTTCGAGATTTACAAGACGTAGTTAAAAGAAACTTTGCTATTTGTACATTCGTTTCGGGGTTGACACTCCTCTCTCACAAGAGGGAGGCTCACACATAATAAAATAATTTTGGGCCCCCCTCTCTTGTAAGGTAAGTGTCAACACCGAATGTAGCAAAACCGATTTAAATATATTGAAGAATGTGTTAGTACTATTTATCATCTCAGCATCAGGCAGGCACTTGTCATGGATTAACAACTAAAATATAGCAACAATTTGAAGTTGTGAAAAATGTAATGCTGAGGAACAAACAGGTTTCTCTGTCTCCTTTGCTACCCACTCTTGGCCACCGTCCAGTCCCGTCCAGGCCAGTTTTGCCTTATCGGACTGGTATATACATTTCTTCCTTCCATCATTTAGCCGGTAACTTTCCCTTTATTGTTGTCGTTGGTGCTCCATTGAAAGCCCAACTTTCCGCCTTAGTTGTGAGGCCTGAATATGTAGTTAATTCAGATGTTTATTACAATGCCTTAAGAGTGTGCGTATATATAAAACACGCATGTGCCAAGCACAAGAGAGATAAAGTACATTCACAATCTACCAAACAAGGCTACAAAAAATCTAAGATTGCATTCAGAATAAGAAATTCACTTACAATTGCACAAACAAATGCCAGGTACATTCTTTCAGCTTCATTTTCAAACATTATCACTAGAGTTCCTGTTGCCACTATCAATACCTTCTAACAACCACTTTGATTCGTGCCAGACTGCGATGGGGGTTGATCACCACACAAGGTGTTAGTAGGTGCATTCAAATACTTGATGGGAACAAAGCCACATTCCACAAAATCTGAACCAAGAAACAGCATACTTTACAATCGGGGGATAGAATAGTCACTAACACCACCGACCTGAGCAGTTCAGTCATGAATGTTAACTGATTTATCTCCAAAATATGGTGACTCATAATCACATATAAATAATGTACACGTGTTACATATATCCCTAGTATGTTCACCATCCTCAGAGGCATTAAGAAAATCAGTTCAACTTTCTCAAAAGTGAAAGGCAATACTAAAGTTTTCTTGCCTGTGACTTCAAATTGTTTGAGTAACACAATCCAAAAGTTAGTTTGGTAAAGATGTTGGTTGCTACATTTTCCAATCCAGGCCATCTCAAAATGCTAACAAATTCTGACAAGACAAAAATACGCCATGCCAAAAGCAAGAGCCATCAAAAATAAAGAAGAGAGAAATCCCATTCCATTCTTTCATCGTCCACCCCCCAACCACGCAGGGACATCAAAACATTAAAAAAGGGATCCTATCAACGTGTTCCCACCAAGGATATAATAAGCTCCCCTATACCCTGTTCCTGTATGTTGATAAACTGTTCACTTCAGCAATAGCAATAGAAAGTTCAGTCCCTCATGAGTTTGCACAAACTACAACTAAAAGAAAATGGATAAAATCATTGTTGGAAGGACCAACAATGACCTATCCAGCAAAAGACAAGGATCTGAAAGAGTTACTAACTTAATTCAAGTAGCTCGGGACATGTGACATCCCAAATAACTCATTTCACCTATAGGAGCAACACGTCTTAGGAGTTCACCTAATTTTTCTCAATCATCGCGTCATTATTATAGAAAGATAAAAACTTAATCTAGGCCACCTGAACCCAAGCCAAACATTCCAATGAAAAATGGAAGTTGGTTCATCGCATCCTAGGCTAGCTGTCCTGTTACTGGAAGTACTTGATATGTTTCTAAACCTAGGAGGAAAAATAGAATTCTCAGTAGCAGTAAAGCAACATTAGGAAATACAATGTAGGGAAGTCCTACAAGTTTAATCTTTGAAGATAAATTCTTTTTCAGTAAGATGCAATTCAACTACTATCTTGCCATGTGGAGCATAATTAAATGAGGGAACAAACCACAAGTGCTACTCAAACTACACACTTTCAACAGCTCTACAATTTGCTCTCTTTTTTCCAATCCTTTCGGCTAAGGATGCTAATGAGGCCCCTTTTTCCATCACAGTAAAGCGAGACTCAGAATTTAGTATACTTGCATGGCTTCACCAATCACCGTTAGAAAACAACAAGAAATCCTGTCAGTACCAGTGACACATCCATTCATGTTTTTAAGAACATTGAAAATGACTACAAAAATGAGATTAACATATCACAAGTAACCTGAGAAGGGAATTCATAGGATACATTCATTTTAGGAAAAATGACAATTATTCGGTACATCACTAACAGAAAATGAAATTTACTGAGACAGATGAAGTATTTAGTTTATGAGCAAACCAAGTAAACAAAATCTCAGGAGACTCTATATTGGAAAAAGATGCGTAGTTTGCAAATAAGGGACATGATAATATTCAATGGCCAGAATGAAAAATAATTCCACCACCTTCATGTCCCAAGTAGTTGTCTTGACTAAAGTTGGTCATGGTATTTCATTTTAAGAATAATTACTATGAATTCCTCAAAATTTTTGGTTCATTTTTTATCATTTTTACATGAACATAATTAAATAGGAAAGAGTATTTACATGTTCACAAAATGATTTCCAAGCAAATACCATACGTTAATGGGGAAAGAAAATATTTGCCTTGATATTCCATACTAGTATTGAAACAACAGTCCTAAGTAAGATCAAAGCCATCCAAATAATGTCTCTCAGTCATAAGTTGAGCACTTCAAGCCCGTGTTTGAGCCCCATTCTATAAAAAAACTCATATTTCCCCAAATTCATTTTTAACCACACATTCTCCCAATAAATTAATTTTACACGTAAATGTAAAACTTTTTCTTATTTCTTAACAACAAATTCTCCAATAATCACTATTACAAAACCTATTCTCCCAAAAAATGGGGCTCAAACAGACCCAAAGTGGTTAGCAAAAAGCAAACAACTTTCAAACCAAGGGTAAGGTAAAAAAAAAGTAATGATCATTCACATTCTCCCTTCAAAAAGAAGCACCCAAAGGAAACATATAGATTCAAATGTAAACTTCCTCAGATATCCCAAACATAAGCAATGTCCAGAAATACTAAGCTGCAATGCTCAAACAGACTTCCAAGTACATAGTTATTCTTGAGAAACATTAAAACAAACACATCACCAGTGCACAGGAATTCCTACTGTGTTACCATCAACTGGAGAAGAAGTGCGAGCGAGTATGGAAGACATTTGAAGACCAAGGACCAATCCATAATGCACCATAACAAATGGACATCAATTAATAGGCAGCATAAAAAGGTAGCATCCATAAATCTGATTATTACAAAATATCTAAATGGTGACATTTTAATCCCAAGAAATAAACGAAGCATCCTTTGAATATGCTTCTACTAATAAAACATAGCATCTGTGCAGTCCAGGAAATATGAGAGACGGAACTAAAGTGAAGGAAAAACGTAAAGGCTAACACGCCTTAGACACGAGAGTTCACTCTCCGATTAATGGAAACCAACATAATCCAAGCCGATCCTAATCATCATTGACCTTTCCATTGAACTCCAAAGCTGTGATACTCATAATCGTAAATCGCCTTAACGGATTGGGTCCTACACAGAAGATTTTTTCACAATTCAGTGTGATTTAAGCGACCATTCTGGATTTTCAGCAAAACCTAATGGCTAGTCAGTAATACAGGGTCCAGCGTATAGATGGCATTTGTCACCTGCAGAAATTCGTAACTCTAACGTCTCCCACGATGCCCACCTCCTGACCTTGCACCAGGATAGCGAGCAAATTGCAGCCTTAAGTGGGCCGAGTCCCGGTCATGCTCATCAAACCTATAACCTGCAAGATTTAGTTCGACTATTTTATGGTACCAACTGATGTCGCTTCGAATGACGACCGACAAACCAGGTAAGTAGTGTAAGGATTTTAGATTGTAGCCGCAGTATTAATTCTCCTCATCGAAAATTTCCACTTAAGATGCTAAATAGGTATAATACGAGATTGATTGGTGAATTTGATAAGACATAATGTGATTTAGGAGATAATAAGAAAATTATAATTTTACCAGAAAGGGGAAACATCAAGAATTGTAAATAGACATATAGCATTTTGTATGATTATAGGAGTATAACACAAAGTAAATGGATATTAAGAGATAATACCAACCTATATGTGAGCGATATATTATATATATGCCCGAATTTTTCCTTCGAGACAAAATTTGTATGCTACTTGAATAAATTCCACCACCTTCATGTCCCAGGTAGTTGTCTTGACCAAAGTTGGTCATGGTATTTCATTTTAAGAATAATTACTATGAATTCCTCAAAATTTTTGGTTCATTTTTTATCATTTTTACATGAACATAATTAAATAGGAAAGAGTATTTACATGTTCACAAAATGATTTCCAAGCAAATACCATACGTTAATGGGGAAAGAAAATATTTGCCTTGATATTCCATACTAGTATTGAAACAACAGTCCTAAGTAAGATCAAAGCCATCCAAATAATGTCTCTCAGTCATAAGTTGAGCACTTCAAGCCCGTGTTTGAGCCCCATTCTATAAAAAAACTCATATTTCCCCAAATTCATTTTTAACCACACATTCTCCCAATAAATTAATTTTACACGTAAATGTAAAACTTTTTCTTATTTCTTAACAACAAATTCTCCAATAATCACTATTATAAAACCTATTCTCCCAAAAAATGGGGCTCAAACAGACCCAAGGTGGTTAGCAAAAAGTAAACAACTTTCAAACCAAGGGTAAGGTAAAAAAAAAGTAATGATCATTCACATTCTCCCTTCAAAAAGAAGCACCCAAAGGAAACATATAGATTCAAATGTAAACTTCCTCAGATATACCAAACATAAGCAATGCCCAGAAATACTAAGCTGCAATGCTCAAACAGACTTCCAAGTACATAGATATTCTTGAGAAACATTAAAACAAACACATCACCAGTGCACAGGAATTCCTACTGTGTTACCATCAACTGGAGAAGAAGTGCGAGCGAGTATGGAAGACATTTGAAGACCAAGGACCAATCCATAATGCACCATAACAAATGGACATCAATTAATAGGCAGCATAAAAAGGTAGCATCCATAAATCTGATTATTACAAAATATCTAAATGGTGACATTTTAATCCCAAGAAATAAACGAAGCATCCTTTGAATATGCTTCTACTAATAAAACATAGCATCTGTGCAGTCCAGGAAATATGAGAGACGGAACTAAAGTGAAGGAAAAACGTAAAGGCTAACACGCCTTAGACACGAGAGTTCACTCTCCGATTAATGGAAACCAACATAATCCAAGCCGATCCTAATCATCATTGACCTTTCCATTGAACTCCAAAGCTGTGATACTCATAATCGTAAATCGCCTTAACGGATTGGGTCCTACACAGAAGATTTTTTCACAATTCAGTGTGATTTAAGCGACCATTCTGGATTTTCAGCAAAACCTAATGGCTAGTCAGTAATACAGGGTCCAGCGTATAGATGGCATTTGTCACCTGCAGAAATTCGTAACTCTAACGTCTCCCACGATGCCCACCTCCTGACCTTGCACCAGGATAGCGAGCAAATTGCAGCCTTAAGTGGGCCGAGTCCCGGTCATGCTCATCAAACCTATAACCTGCAAGATTTAGTTCGACTATTTTATGGTACCAACTGATGTCGCTTCGAATGACGACCGACAAACCAGGTAAGTAGTGTAAGGATTTTAGATTGTAGCCGCAGTATTAATTCTCCTCATCGAAAATTTCCACTTAAGATGCTAAATAGGTATAATACGAGATTGATTGGTGAATTTGATAAGACATAATGTGATTTAGGAGATAATAAGAAAATTATAATTTTACCAGAAAGGGGAAACATCAAGAATTGTAAATAGACATAGCATTTTGTATGATTATAGGAGTATAACACAAAGTAAATGGATATTAAGAGATAATACCAACCTATATGTGAGCGATATATTATATATATGCCCGAATTTTTCCTTCGAGACAAAATTTGTATGCTACTTGAATATATAATAATTCACATCACTTCTTTCGTATACATTATTAAACAAATAGCTGCATTTATGCTCCGACACCATAAATGTGCTAGAGTCGACATAATACATAATAAGTAAATGTTGAGTCAGAAAAACGAATTATGAATGGTACATTAATAAATTACGCATGGTGAGTGTGTATCAGCGTTTCTTAGCCATATCTGTACCTAGTCTACAATCATACCTGTGTCCATCAAGACAGTAAATTAATGGCATTGGCACATATGAAGGTAAATTAAATTTTCCCAACACCTATTTTTCTCTAGAAATGTACAATCAACTTCTGTTCTTCGTATCTAATGCTTGAACATAAAGCAACTCATAACACACACACAAAAATAGTATAAGATCCACCTCTCAGAAGAAATGCTAAATTTTGGATGTATAAAAGAGGAAACCCACAGGCAAAGAATAAAGGCAGATATATGAATGGCATCATGACACCCACACCAGCCATTTTGCCTGGTGATCTAGATTCCTCAGCCAATCCTCCAATACCAGGTAACCTGGATTCCTCTTGATTATCCAATAGGCTAAACAATGTACAATCTGGAGAAGATTGTTCACCCAATGTTTTAGTGTGGAATCACCATGCCTAAACTAACATCCCATATTACTTAATAATGCCAACATGTGGCCCAATAAATCTATGGAGGCTCAGACTTTTAAAATTTTTAATAACTTGGAACTTTCCTCTCTGACAATTTTTTCATCAACCTAAATATCAAAACACCTATCAAAACCACAGGATTGGCAAAAATATGAATAGAAATACAATGGGGGTGATAGAGAAAGGCCCATCTCTGCACCATTTACTATTCTGGTAGCGACAATCACATGAACTTATGCTTCCAACTAGGACTAAATTTTTGCATCGGCAGATTCTGTGATATATTTTACATAAGAGGTTGTAAGACGTTCACACGTGATATAACCCAAGCAATTCCAGATAGACGTAAATGGTGAGTCTGATCTGCAGCGGAAAACTTATTGAATGGCGTGGTTTAATGTAGTAGTAAGTGGCGAAAATTACAGGTCCTCGGCAATTGAAGGAGATAGGCCAAAAAATAAGACCAGCAATAAAATTGTAATATTGCCTGCACTGAAGCGCTTCCTAACAGAAAGTCGTTCAAGGTACGTTTTACACCACCCTCACCCCCATTCACAGATGATAGAAGGATATATAAAGATCTTGCCTGGCCAATCCTCAGTAGTCGTGTCAAACAGAATGTAGTTTCCAGGTCTGAAACCCAGAACTGTTCTGCCCATTAGATATTAGTATTACTCTTCTAGTTACCTTCTACAACACTTGGCATTAAGAAAATAATGTGGACCAATCACCAAAGAGAAACAAGATGTGTAGACAAATGGTTAATCTGAGAACTGAAGCATTTTATATTCAGAGTATGATTAGCACACAAGTCAATATCACCTTGTAAGGCATCCATTGCAGTGGCTGCATGAGCTGGACTCACAAAATCAACGAAACAAAGCACCAGTGCATCACCTCCAGACTGCATGGGTCAATTTCAAATGGTAATATCAAAAAGCATGCACGACGTTTACAATGCATTACTAACTTACAATCAAACAAATACATACACGTCTTGAATCTTTCGTAACAAGTCTTGCTTCTTTGTAGCCTACGAAAGGGCGAAATATATCTGCAAATCCAAGTAAAGGAACAGAAGTAGAATTGAAATATAGAAGGAATTGAAAAATAGAAGCAAAGTCAAGAGCAATTATTAGAGTATAGAAAGGATACGAGAAACTTCCCTGCGAGTACAATTCGCAGGCAAGCCTTCCACAAACAGTGTGCTGCTAGCATCTGGAGGGAGTGCAATTTCAGGTCTTCCTCCTCCCACTCCAACAGGAGTTTCAGGCCTCCCTCCTCCCACTCCAACGGACCTTCTTTTCGCAGCCACCACTGTGTCTGAAAAGCCAATAGCTACGAGACGAGGATCATCAACAAGATGATGCCCACCAAGTCCACCACTCATGGACCTTCCAGCCTCACCACCAGTATAAGATGACATCTGCAAGCACATTGTAGTAGTGAGTTATACCTTCACATACAAAATATATGAATGGGTAAAAAAACATTTATTGCATAACCATGAGCAGAAGCAAATACCCCAGTTTGCAAGTAGCGGTCGTATGATTCATTAATGGAATCACTCTCTCTTATGACTCGAAGTCCTCCCCTTCCATCCTCACGAGCATATAAGTGTGATATGTCATGACTAACGGGCATTTCTGCACAATATAATAAAATATTTGAAATAAAAATATTAACCCTTTTAAACCTCCCACTAATTTTAACAAGCATCCAAGTGAATTAATTAATAGACTACAGCACAAAAACTTCCTTTCTTTCCCCTTCTTTATACATTTCTTTACAACTTGACCCACCTATACTAGTTCAAAAAAATCATTTGGTGTTTCGGATTATTCAGACATCAAAAGCTTAAGTTCTACAATGAAGATGTCACGGACTTAATTAAATTTAATACGCCTGCTGCCCAGGTTTCCATAAATACTAATAAAATAAACAAATTAAAAGATAAAAACTTTTTTACCACTTTTTCTCCGTGCAGCATTCTTTCAAAACTCTCCCTCCTTAAAACCCCAAACACAAAGCCTCATATGACAAAGTTTCAAAAAAGATTAAATCAAACCCTAATTCTCCAAAACAAAACAAAATCCAACAACGATAAAAAAAAAAAATGCATCAGATACCCATAAAGATGCATGCTTGGGTAGGTAAAGACACAGAAGACAACAGTACCATAACTGGAACGAGGCCGTTTGGCTGCTAGAGCAGTAAGAGCCACTGCCTGCTGCCTGCTTTCGTTATACATCCGGTAAGCGTCCTCCATTCTTCTTTTCCGAAATTTAAGCTATACGGAAACGTGGGTTTTGATTGATTTATTCCCTTGTGATGAAACCCCCGAAACAGTAAAGCATCCCCCCTTGCGGAAGGAGATTAGTCTAGTTAATTGAAAGAGAAACAGTAGAGCGCCCCCTTTTCAGAAGGTTAATAAAAGAAGTATTCATTTAAAAAACCTAGAGTCTGTTTGGTGTGATTTTGAGAATTGATTTTTGGATCGTTAGGAGAAAAGTAGGGTCTACTTGTGAGAGAAGAAGTCAAATATGACGGTTGAAATAGTAAAATAACGATAAAAAAATCAATTTTTTTAGTGAAAAAATCGGGCCCAAACAGGCCACTAGATTCAATATTTAGCTCCCGTTTGATCCCCATTAAATTCAATTAGATTAGATTACATTTTTCTCTTTCCTATTTTTAATCACACAATTTTTCATAAAATAATATTACACGTAAATTGAAAACTTTTCTTTTCTTTTCATCCACTCATTTTTCTAAAAAATATTATTCCCCCATTTTCATTTTTAGATAATGGGGTCAAACGGGGCTTATTTTCTTTTAGCTAAAAGGCTTGAAGGCAAAAATAAATAAATAAAAAGGTCGAAAAATACAATGGCTAAGTCCCCTGCTTAACAATCAAAAAATAAAGTTTTGAATAATGATTTTAAAAAAAATGTGTAATTAAAAGGCAAAAAAAAAAAAAAAAGAATTTACGTGCAAAATATTTTATTACTTGAACGTGTGATTGAAAATAACCATGTAGAAAAAAGAATTTCAAATAATAATTGTCAAATTGGGGCTAAATGTATTCACACCACAATTTTTAATAACTAGATTACATTTTAATTGCGTAAAAGTTAATAATCTTTACATTATTACATTTATGTCTCAAACATTTTTTTCATCGCATTCTTATTCTCAAATTAATATAGATTATTTCTCATTATGATTTCTATCTAAAATTTTCTTTAAGATAAAGTAAAATGACTCATTTATTCATTGTATTTTTAAATAAGCAAAATAAATAATAATGAAAAAATGCAATTAAAATTTTCATTATGAGTACACCTCTCTCGCGCAATTCTACGTCTCTGTAGAGCTTCTTTCTTCTATTTTCTCTCCACAAAGCATATTTCCATTTTCTATATGTTGAAAAAAAAAACTGAGCTATGGGCCGACTTTGGCACGAGTTTTGAGTGGGACCCAGTTGTTCAATTTGGAAGATGAAAGTTGATTTGTGTTCTCCTTCGTGAGTACATCGAAATCATATACTTACTTGCCAAAGATAATGCTCGGGTGAATGAGAAACTGAGGCTCAAAGTGTGCCACTCAAAAGGTAGTTTATGTGAGAAATATGAATTTGTCCCACATAGGAAAAAGATGAGAAACTCCAAAGGTCATTACTATTAATGGTAGCCTAGCCTATAAATAGTGGCTCATTTTCCTCATTTCAATACACCAAAGCAAAAGCTTTCAAGTTTAGAATACACAAGAAATTCATTTGCATAGAGTTCTGTCTTTTCTGCATTTCTGTCTTGGTGGTGGTGTAGTTCAGGCACTAATTCAATTCGTCGGAGTGGTTTCTGTGATGCTCGAAAGCTACTAGTTTTACCGTTGTATCTTGCGAAACGGACGCTCGTTTTAAACCTCAAACACGGACGGTGAGAGGGCGAATCTGTTTTAAGGAAACTGTGTGTAACACAAACCTCGGTTTGAAATTTCATTTCCTGCAATTTCAATTATTCGTTCTGTTATTTATTACAGTAAATTCAATAGTTGATTTGTTGTTCATTATATTATTATCCAATTAGTTGTACGACTGTAACTTGCTGTTATATATCATCTTACCAGACAAAAAGTATATACGGTATTGAAATCGAGAATACCAGATTCCTCATTTTTCACAAACCAACCGAACTGGTGAAACTTGGGATTTTCCCTACATGCTTAAAACAGATTTTCAGAAAGGAAAAATTGGTTTCCTATATTGATTATTTCTGAACTGATTAGTTTCTTATATTTGTTATATTGTGAAAACTAATTTGTTGTTTGGTTCTTTCAGAAGACGAAACGGCAACCGATTCCACCAACATGGATTCCAACATGGATGTGTCCCAAGCTGTAGGTACCCAAACTCAGGCTGTGGGTTCTACTAAGGGCGCAGGGCCTAGTTCGACTATGGGTACAGCTATGGCTGTAGGGCCTAGATCTGTTATGGTTCAAACTATGGCTCAAGTCCCAAGTCGTGTTGTGAGCCAACATGTGGCTAATGTTCCGATTAATGTACCGGTTAACCATAGGAAAAAGTCGGAGAAATTCAACGGCTTGAATTTCAAGAGGTGGCAGCAAAAAATGTTATTCTATCTAACCACCCTGAATCTTGCAAGATTCTTGACTGAAAGTGCTCCAAAACTCCAAGAGGGTGAGGTGGGTGTTCAAGCAATCAGTGCTGTTGATGCTTGGAATCACTCGGACTTCTTATGCCGGAATTACGTCATGAATAGTTTGGCAGATTCGCTATACAACGTGTATAGCATCATGAAAACTGCTAAGGAGTTGTAGGAGTCTTTGGACCGGAAATATAAGACTGAGGATGCCGGGGCTAAGAAATTTATCGTCGGCCGATTCTTGGACTATAAGATGGTGGACTACAAAACTGTAATCAGTCAAGTGCAAGAACTCCAAGTGATTCTTCACGAAATTCATGCCAAAGGGATGATTCTAAGTGAAACTTTCCAAATGGCTGCAATCATTAAAAAAGTGCCTCCCGCGTGGAAAGATTTCAAGAATTATCTAAAATACAAGCGAGAGGAAATGAACGTTGAAGAACTGATTGTTAGACTTCGAATTGAAGAAGACAACAAGAGTTCCGAAAAGAAGTGGTTCAATCCTGGTGCGGCTAAGGCCAATATTGTTGAACATGGTCAAGGTAGTAAGAACTACAAAACCAAAGCTGGGCCATTCGGTGGAAAAGGGATCAAGCTGAGACCAAAATGGGATATTCCTAAGAAGAAATTTCAAGGGAAGTGCTTCAACTGTGACAAAGTCGGCCACAAATCTTCGGAGTGCAGATTGCCAAAGAAGAAGAAAGAAGCAAATGTGGTTGACTACATGGCACATGATGTGTCGGAAATGAGTCTTGCAGCAGTCATTTCTGAAGTGAACATGGTGAGTTCTAATCCAAAAGAATGGTGGATTGACACCGGAGCTACGAGACATGTGTGCTCTGATAAAGAGTTATTTACTGCTTTTGAAGCAGTTGAGAATGGAGAGAAGTTGTTCATGAGAAATTCAGCAACTTCTGAAATCAAGGGCCAAGGAAAAGTGGTTCTGAAGATGACTTCGGGAAAAGAGCTGACTCTCAACAACGTGCTGTATGTGCTGAAAATCCGCAAGAACCTTGTGTCCGGATCGCTTTTGAATAAGCATGGTTTCCACATTGTATGTGAGTCAGACAATGTCATCTTGTCAAAAAGTGAAATGTTTGTCGGAAAAAGTTATGCTTTCGATCGAATGTTTAAACTCAATGTAATGGCTGTTAAACCAAAAATGAATAATAAAGTGAATACTTCTGTTTACTTGCTTAAGTATTCTAATGTGTGACATGGTAGACTAGGACACGTTAACTATGATACTTTACGTAGGCTAGTTAACTTGAAATGCATATCAGCATTCCATGTTGATTCCAAACATAAGTGTGAGACTTGTGTTGAAGCAAAATTGACTAGGTCGTCCTTTAAGTCAATTGAACGAAATACGGAATCACTTGATTTAATTCACAGTGATATATGTGATTTAAAATTTGTACAAACAAGTGGTGGCAACAAGTATTTCATTACTTTTGTCGACGATAGTACGAAATACTGCTATGTGTATTTGCTAAAAAGCAAGGATGAAGCGATAGAGAATTTTGTTCTCTATAAGATGAAGTTGAAAATCAACTTAACAAGAAAATTAAGGTGCTAAGAAGCGATTGAGGTGGTGAGTATGAAGCACCGTTTGCTGAATTCTGTGCACAACACGGAATCATACATGAAACCACCGCACCGTATTCACCGCAACAAAATGGTGTTGTTGAAAGGAAAAATCTCACCTTAAAGGAGATGATGAATACGAAGCTAGTAAGTTCTGGTTTACCTCAGAACACGTGGGGGATGCTGTGTCATCAGCAAATTACCTTTTGAATAAGGTGCCTCGAAAGAAAATGGAGAAGACCCCTTATGAGTTATGGAAAGGAAGAACGTCTTCCTATAAATACTTATGAGTGTGGGGGTGTCTTGCTAAAGTGGCTGTCTCAACACCAAAGAAGGTGATGATAGGCCCGAAAACTGTGGACTGCATATTCATTGGATAAGCACATAACAGTAGTGCTTATCGATTTCTCGTGTATGAGTCTAAAATTCAAGATATACACAGAAACACGATAATGGAGTCGAGAAACGCTTCGTTCTTTGAACATGTGTTTCTATGCAGGTCTAAAGAAGAGGCAAGTTCTTCTAAACGGACGTATGAGACTATGACTGAATATAGTCAGGACCAAGAATCAGAAGAGGAGGTTGAGGCTGAACATAGACGTAGCAAAAGGGAAAGGACAGAAAAATCTTATGGTCCAGATTTTCTGATCTATATGCTAGAAAGTGAACCTCAAAACTATCAAGAGGCTGTGAACTCCTCGAAAGGACCTCAATATACTTTGAACTTTAATTTATTGTGGGTTTGCAATTCATGAAATAAGATGATTAAAAAAAATTGTAATTAAAAATGGGAAAATGTTAAGTGAATGTTACATGTTATTTTATAGCTCATTCGGTTCATCTTTTTTATTATTTCATCCATTTTTTGTTTTCAAAAATTTCTCTGAGTATGGTCTGCCACATTTCTTCTAGTGCTAGGTTAAGTGCTTAGAGTTTTGGTTGCTCATTAGTCATTTTAGTCAGCTCAGAAGCAAACACGTGTAATTTAATTTAGTGCAAGTTGATCAACCTTTCAAAGTAATTCTACATCCATTATTCTAGGTATTTGATCTGTCATTCTGTATATTTATAGTTTTATTTGTGGCATGTTTTTCTTAGTTTAAGATTATGCCATTCTTGATCAGTACTTGACCTAACTTTAGCTCAACTATTTTGTTGTCTTTGTAGATGAAGAGCCCGTATGGATATC